AGTTTTACAAGAGGAGGCCATCAGCTCAACTAACCAGTCACTTGTAATAACTGCCATCCACTTGTAACAACTGCCATCCAATTGGATTGTCAAGACTGTTGGAACAGACCAACAGAAGGCAGTTAGTCAGTTTTACAAGAGGCCACATCAGCTCAACTAACTAGCCACTTGTAACAACTGCCATCCATAACAGCTGTAACAGTCAAGATTGTAAGTAGTAGAGCAGAAAAGGAAGAGAGGAGGACTCTTTCAGCATTAAACTCTCTCTCTCTCCTTCCAAGAATTCAGGAGGTTGGCCCCTCGAAGAGCCATGAGTTAGGCAGGTTCCTAACATGTACACTAGTAATGGTTTATTAAAAGAAAAAAAATTGCAGACCTTGATTACCTAAAACCCAAGTTCTTGCATATATGATTTCAGATAGCAAAATTACCACTGAAGAATCAACAAAAAATACAACTCACATTTGACCACAAACCCTAATATAGAATTACAACAATCAAAATTACAAATCAACAACCATATATGTATAGACAAAAAAAAAAAATGGGTCAGAGGTGAAGACTATGGATATTTTCAAAACCTTCTCAGTAACTGATTTCTTGCGAGCCTGGACCAAAATAGCACAGTCATCAAGAACAAAGGACAGAATAAGGATAGATTAGAAACCACCAGAAGGCAACAAAGTAAAATTAAATTTTGATGGAAGCTCTCTTGGAAACCCGGGTGTGGCTGGAAGGGGGGGGGGTGTTATCAGAAATTCAGAGAGGAGGATATTGGCTATCTTCTCAGGACCAATTGGCTTTGGAAATTCTTTGAAGGCTGAGCTGTTGGCTTTATTACAAGGCCTCAGATTAGCCAAGCAGTTGGGGTTTAGAATGATCGAGGTGGAAGGAGATTCACAAGTAGTCATCTCCTGGCCAAATCCAATAGGAATACTCCTTGGTCCCTAAAGTATATTCTAAGGGAAGTGGAAATGATTGCTGAAGAAAAAGTGGCTTAATTTAAATGGGTTAGGAGTGCAAATGGTTTAACTGACACCTTAGCTAAGCAAGGGGCTATGTGGAAAGGACTGTTTTGGGCATCCTTTTAATTTGGAATAGCAAAGTGGGCTCAAAAGCTGTGCTTATCTTTTCTTCTTTCCAAATTTTAATAAAATCTTTTTTCTACTGATAAAAAAAAAATAATTGGGTCAGGGGTGCTGCCCTTGAACCCTCACATGGACTTGTTTGGACTTCCCTCAAGGGCCTATCGATCCTCTACATCCATAAAGGCCCCAACCTCATAGGATTGAGAATGCAAGACTTTCACTTTGAATTAATGCAACTATGAGAGAGAAAAACACATTGAGAGTTCACATGCTCGAATTGCTAAATGCTTTTAGCACTTTAGAACAATCACATCTGTTTGCTTTGACTTTCACTTTGAATTTCTTTTATATGTTATGCCTAAATATTTTTATTTAAGCAATTACACTTTGAATTTGTTTATGCAGTATGCTTATTAATTTTTATTTGAGCTAACCTTTTTACAAAATTTTGCACCTTGCTTTACCAGGGGCACACCTTGTGTTGCAACTTATGCCTCAAGCACTAGAATGCCTTTGCACTTTTCTTGCATGAGTCACTTTTAAACAACTGAATCAAAATAAAGAAATTGGCAAGCTAAAAGAAAACAAAATTTTGGGGATGTAAAGCAATAGGCATAATTTAGTGTAATGGTAAAATCTTGAACAGGCATGTGTGAAAACATTGGGTTGAGTCTAAGAGCAGCCACTTTGTGGAAAAAATGCTAAAACCTAGGATCATATCGATTCTACCCCTCCCAAGGACCCATATCCATTAACAGCATATCCATATTAAGATCCATCCATCAAGTTGTAAAATAAAATAATAAATTAATTACATTTATGCAGATATTGAAAATGCCTTTATGCTTAAGTAATCATTTCATGCAACATATGTGCAAATTAATTGCAAAACCAGATTCAAGGGTAGAAATTCAAAAATTCTGGCTTGAATACCAAAGCTGTAGCTATTCTCATGCATGAAGAAAATGAAATATTTCCCAATAGTCTAGCACAAATGGGCATAAAATTTATTCTACTTTATAAAAGATTGCACAGAAATGTCCTTTCAACAAAACAACTAAAAGGATGCATGTCCAAATTGCACCAAAATCTGTAGAAGGATAGACATCATTATATTTAAAGGTTTCAGGTACATACAAATCTTCTATGTTTAACACGTACTACCGCAGAAAACAGGAAGACAATGATAATGCAAAACCAAGTAAATTACCTTTAGTGCAGCAGCACCAAGTGCAAACCAGCCATCAGGATATAAAGAATTTAATGCCATTGCATATTCCCTGAAATGTAATTGATTAAAATCAGTATACACCACAAATAAATTTAAGTATTGCATATTTGAATAAATAATTTTGTGATAAAAAGGAGATAATGAAAAGCTTTAAAACATAATACCAGAGTACTTTAGATGCCTCATAGTCCCCCCTATTGTATGCACTACGAGCAAGAGATCGCTGCAAACCCAGAAGAGCTAGTGAAGAAAAATGATATCATTATGAAAGCATAATAATCTTTTATGTTTTGAAGTGTACTAATGTAGCTGGTTGAAGAAAATTAAAAATCACCTTAGCACGAGCCGACCTATCATTTGACACTTCAAGCGCTTTTCTATAGCAGTCATCATTATTTGTAACATCACCCAGTGAACACCTGGAGAGGGGAAAAATAACTTTATAGTATGCAATTTTACAATATAACTAAAACCATAATTCACCTCTTAGTTCGCTTCTTCCTTTTAGTTTCTAAAATCTACCATAGAAAAGTTAGAGCATCAGATGCCTAAGTATTGATAAGTACAAACACTGAAACAGTAAAAAAGGAAACAACACATAGAGTATCTAAAATATGTTCACCAGTACAATCAATTCAATATGTTCAAAACAATCCTCATTTTTTGCTTTCTGGGAGGCAATTGTTCCCAGTTAATAGGAAAATAGCATTGATATTTTAAAAACTGATCCAGATTCTGAACCCAATAGTTGTTCGGGTTACTAGTTTGCCAGTTCAGTTGAGCAGCTTGCCTGTTATAACAGTTAAAACCATCAAAAAACCAGGACCCTGTAAACTCTTCCATGACTGGTTTGACCATCTTAGTCAACAACATGAAAACATTGATTAGAACATTAATACAAGACTCTCTAGTGTAAGGCACATAAAACTGCCACAAGTGAGGCAAGGTGACATTATTTTCTAATTTAGGTATCTTGGTAAAAAAATCATGCTGAACTGCACATGATTTCCAATATTTAGTATTCATAGCAGAGAATTTTTTTTCTAATTTAGGTATCTTGGTACTAAAATCATGCTGAATTGCACATGATTTCCAATATTTAGTGTTCATAACAGAATTAATGCAATGTGATTCATGGAATTTATAGAATCAAATATGGACATATAAAGAGTTAATTAAAGATGGTACATCTGGAAAGAAGATGCTTGCATTCTAGACGTACCTTTGCAATCCAGTGTTAAGTATTGACTTCTTTTATGCCAAGATAGCATATCCATGTATGCCATGGTTTTGACTTTTGAAGTGTCAAAGGATACAGAATTCATAATAAACAAATCACATGAACAAGTGTATTGAGGTGCATAAATACAAAAGATAAGTTTTCTTTTTCTCAGTATCCATGGTCATAAAGTTTGGCAAAAGTTTTAATGCCAGCTGCCAAATAGGAGAACTTTCCTCCTTTATCAGGCCTGGAATGAGCAGTGAAAGTCAAGCTTAACATTGGCAGTCTTGTGTTATAGGAAAATACCACTTAGGCTAAAAGAAAAAATTTGATAAAATGGTTATAAGGCCAGCAATGATATATGGAACAGAGTGTTTAGCCTAGTTGGCTACAGCTTGGGGAATCAGGAATTTCTAGAGTTGACAGTAGGGCTGTAATCAGATTGAGCTATCTCCAACCATCATTCAATTAGAGATACACCTCTACCAAATTCAATCCAAAATCTGATCTGACTTAGGAGGTGTTGATTCAAATTCAAAATCAGATCTTCAGATCTAACCTGAGTTCGACAAGCTATTATTCATAACCTAACCCAAGGTTCAAAGTATAGGTATCATGTATCAAATCGGTAAACTTGGATTTTTTTGCATCCTTAAAGGAGGGTAGTCTTGTAATTTTACATCCATTAAGTTATAATAAAATAAAAGGACAGCAGAGAGGAGAGACTCAATTTGGACTCTCTCTCTCTCTCTCTCTCTCTCTCTCTCTCTCGTGATGCCCTGTTTTCTTCTCCTCTTTCTCTCCTCTTTTTCTCTTCTCCCTCTCTTATTGTTTCAGCTCTATTCAGCATATATTTTCTCTGTTTTCTCCTCTTTCTCTCTTCTTTTTCTCTTATCCCTCTCTTGTTGTTTCAGCTATATTCAGCATATATTTTCTCTGTATTCATTTAAGTCTAAGACCTATTTCAGGCTGGTTTCAAACAACATTAGCAAAAAGAGGGTTCTCAGAGCAAAATTGCCACCATGCTTCAAAAAGCACAAAATTTAACAAAGGTACACACCTGACCTAAGGCACAAGAAGCACCACATGCACCCCTAGGCGCACTAGGCATGCCCTTTCCAAAGGGACAGTGCCTAGACCTAAGCAAGGCACAGACCTTTAAATATGCCTTGCTTGTATGCCTAGAGGTGTGCCTTTTAAATCACTGATGACAACTAGTTCGTGAAGTAGGGACAGGAGGTGGGAAGGGATCAAAACTATAACAAAAAATAAAAAAAAAAGATTGCCAAGGGCCAAATTCTCAAGTCACATACCATAATCTTGGATCATTGGGCATTTCAGTTAATCGTGTCTTGATGAGCTCAACAGCTGCTGCCTTCTTCTTAAGTAAGCTGTCAGGCATATTGAAATCAGCAATTTAACTCTATGTATGACTTATGAATCCAGTAAAAGAACCAAAAAGTAAAAACGGATAAAATAAAGGTCCCGTTTGGCGCGTCTTTCCGCGCGGTCTGTCGGCTATTTACAAGCTTGGTAGACCGCAATTCGGTCTTTTCCCGTTTGACTCACGGTAGATCTAGCCGCCAAAAGCCGACGCACCGAAAAGAAGCGAGAAGCCCAAAACAGGCAATTTTCGAGAAGCTCCTGGAGCTTTTGCATTTTTTTTCTATCCGTCTTCGCGCGAAAAGACGCGTCGAAAGCTCAATGCATCTTTTGACTGTCAGAGCAACCAAAAGATCTTCCCAAAAAAACTTGCCAAATGGCGCCAAAATAAAATAAAAAGCTCATGAGAGAAAAATGATATGGCTTGTATTAAATTCTTTTAAATCAACTTGAACAATTCGTGCCATACCAGTAGCAATATATTAGGTTATCCCATAACTCTAGATCTTCAAAAATCGTAATTGCCTCTCCTATCATACCACAGCTCACCAAAAGCTCACCATATTCTCTGCAAGTCCCAAAAAAAAAAAAAATAAAGCAAAGAGTTAATAATGTATATGCTTTTTAACTATTCAATTATGTATAGTACCTAGTAAGTGTTTACTCAGTAAAGAAATAGAATCATAAATAATAAATAAAAATAATCCCTCATAAAGCATGAATCAATAACACGTCCAAATTTTTCACAAAGGTAAAAATGAGATGTACTTCCGTAATGCAGGAATAGTAGGGATGTAAACGGCATAAGAAAAATAAATCCTTTGAGCTGCTGCAGGAGAAGCATTAAAGACACTCTGGACCTGAGATCACAGAACAAACTAAAGAGTTCAACCACTGTAATGATAAGATGTAGAACAAAGACAAGTACCAAATGTTTGAGAGTAGTCATAACTCAACTTTTTTATGAATGCCATAACTCAAATATTTTGAACATTTAATATCAGCACCATTACAATATTAGATCACAATCACAACTGCCTCTTTACAATCCAAATGAACAGAAAGATTGCCACTAAACATAGTGTGATATCAAAGCATTTGCTGCTCATTGAAAAATGTAGTCAAGCTCAGAAGCAACACTCAACACAAAATGAACCAATGGCATGGTTTAGGTAATCTTACCTGCAAATCCTAACACTGAATTCTCTCTAAAGCATCCATGCCTGAATTTTAGCGCTGATGATGATACATCCAAAACAGCGACACGAACATCAAAGAAAATGTTCATAGAACATGGAAGAAGAAGCTAAGAGCTAGACAAGGGAAGCAAGGAGAAGTGAATCATATTGGAGATCTTCAGAATTGGTGTAATGGCTATCTTATCCTTTTTTTGGTAGTCAGTATTCACTAACTATATTACTAATAGACACTAACAACGTGAAAAAAAGGGAAAAAGGATCTTTAACATTCATCTGAATCATATACAATTGAGTAGAAAATGAAAAAAAAATGCAAAACAACAAGAAACAAGAGATGTTCACATGCCACTAATTGACTTCACCAACCAAGAATCAAAAGAACTCCAGCCCCTAAGCGTCTTTTGCAAAAACCCCTTGATCCAACACAAGATGCCCTAAAAAGAACTCCATATGGTGGCTTGGACTAAGAATTGTGAACCTAGGGAGAAAGAAGGCACTGGTATAAGACAGCTGAAATTGATGAACAGGGCCTTGCTTAGCAAATGGTTGTGGCAGTTTGATGAAGAATATAATCAACTGTGGAGACAGGTGATTCGTTGTAAATATGGTAAGGCTATTATAGATTGGGAATAGACTGTGGAAGGGAATCATGGATAAGAAACAGGAGTTTGACAAGAACATCAGGTTAAAACATGGCAATGGTGAGAACGTTTTCTTGTGGACTGAAGTCTGGTGTGGTGATTAGCCACTTTGCAATGCTTTTACAGGCCTCTATCTCATTGCAGAGAACAGAGATGCCTATATCAAAGAATGCACAAAATGGATTGGTACACAGCTGGTGTGAGTAGCCCAGATTCAGGCAGAAATTGAACAATTAGGAAGTGAGTTTGGTATAGGAGAACTGCTGGAAACATTAGGTGTATTGCAGTTGGACCACAAATCAGAGAAACTGCCAAATCTAGTTGAGGGAGAAATTAGGTCTGTTTTCTACTAAGTCCTGTTACAAGCACTCATTAGTAAGTTGCAGAAGATTCCATTGAGTTGGATTTGGTGAATATAGGTTCTTTCAAAGACCGCTTTCTATGTATGGTCTTCCAGTAGGGACCAAATCCAGATTGTTGACCTGTTGATGAAAAAAACAGGAAATGAATATCAACATGTTCTGTGGAGTGACACCTGAGCTGGCAGGTCATCTGCTTATCCATTGCCCCTTTACTGAAATGATTGGGAGCCATTTTCTGAAGCTATTTCATAGACAGTGGGTGATTCCTCAGACTGTGGCTGATCTGTTATCATCTTGGATGGTGGGTGGTTTCTCTGCTAAAGGGAAAACTCTATGGGATCACCTGCCTTTTGCCATCTGTTGGGGTATACAAGGAACAGAATAGCATGGTATTTCAGGGGAAATTTTCTTCATTGGAGGAGCTGATATGCAAAATAGAATGGAGTCAATAAACACACATTTGGTGGGCCAGGGTCTTGCACCAGTTCTCTGGAGTTACAGTTGAGCCCTTTAAGGATAACTGGTTTTCTGTTAAGTTTTGATGAGCCTTTTGATTACACTGCACATGCTATACTGATACATGTATAGCTCCTCGTAAATTTTTGTGAGGATGACTAAACCCTTTATAGCACAATACAATACTTTTACCAGTTATCAAAGAAAACACATTTATAGCCACATGCTAGAAACTTCATAGCTGAATAGTGAAACCACTTTTGAGTAACTAAAGTATCAAATAAACACAAAGAAGAGTACCACATGAAGTAAAAGAGAACATATGCCACCAAACAATTTCAGTGAATAAGTTGGAATGGAACAACATGAGTATCAAGCAATCTAGTATAATTTAATTGTCTCTACAAACCAAAACTAACTGCTCAAACATAACAATTTGCAAAAAGTTAATATCAAATTCAATGCTGTAAGATTAGAACATTAGGAAAAAAATAAACCAAAACAAATGTCACAAACGGTTATTGATAAAAAAAAATGTCACAAACGGTTTACATCCAGAACATAGATTGAGAGGAAAGAAAACAAAATTGGGAAAAGTACCAACTCATCCATCATCATCAAAGCACGTTGCTTTGTGCGGCTACGACTAGACTCCCATCGAATACGTAAAATGTCACAGAAGCATTGAATCTGAAACACAAAAAAAAAAAAGTCAAAACTAAATTACACATAAAATGATTATTATTAACATTGAAGATTAGGATAAGCAACCCTCCCCTCCCCCCCCCCCACTAGAGAAAAAAGACCAAGGGTGTCAGCTTTCTACCCTTCATCTTTTTCAAAAATAACATGGTAAAAGATGAAATTCAAAATAATTATCCAAAAAAAGGATGAAATTCAAAACACATAGTGATGAGGAAGTCAGGTCCTACTTGAAGAGGCAAAATTCTAAGTACATTGAATAACAACTATCTCAAGCCTGAAGAGTAAGCCAACCAAGATCCAGATCTAGGAAGCCAGAAAATTAAAAATTATTTGAACCCTAAATTTGACTAAGCAGTAAAGAATCAGGAAACTTGAACCACCACCATAAAATGAATCAAGGAGTTTCTTGACAACATAATGTCATGTCAGTTAATAGTAGAATATTAGCAGGCTTTGCAAAGGCTTCAATAGCAAACTTCAACTTAATGCTGACATGATGGGACCCACGATACGTGACACAACCATACAAATACTAACAAATTGAGTCACAACATGTCTGCACCTTGTTGATGTCCACTGATGAAGCCACTGCAAATGCTTAAAAGCTGAAGTGCTGAACAATATTAATTAGCGGTGGCAATTGGGCGGGTTGGGTTGGGTTTGGTCTGGGTTGAGCTTCAACCCAATCCATCTAACCCACCAACCAATTAATGACCCAATTATATAAAATTAAATGGGTTGGGTTCAACACAAACCCGCCTTTACTCAATCCAACCCGCCTAAACCCATTAGTCTTATATTTATGTACTTAAACTAAAAATTAACTCCCACTTAACAAACAAGTTGGCCATAACATGGTGATAATAGTAGTTGTTATTTACACAAGTGGTGAAGGTTCAACCACATTACATGATATTATTTTTACACAAGTGACAAAACCATTGACTATGTTCGGATTTTGGGTTTGACCAAACCACTTAGGTTCAAATTGGTTAGACCAACTTGAATGATCTAACTAGATTTGTCTTCAAGCTAATTACATCAAGAGTGGTTGAACCGTTTCAATTAGGAACAGTCCAGTCAGACCAGATTGGACCAGTCCAGTCAGTGGCAGATTGACTCGGACCAGCCCATATCGGGTTGTGCACGGGTCTCGGACCAAACTGACTAGTTCAAAGCAGAGCAGGGAGCATGCCAGTTCAAATTCAGGTCGAATAACACATGTTCGGGTCGGGCCTTCCCGGAACTCAAAAAATGGGTGGCTCGTGTTGCTTCAGTTCAGACCGGATCTGGGCCAAACCGGCTTGCCCATGACTGGTGCGTGAACCAAGTCGAAGTGGATCCGAAAACGAGTGGTCTGTGTGGCTTCGGGTTGGACCGGATCTTACCTGAACCAGTTTTGTTTGTAACTGTTTGTGATTCAGGTCGGATCGCATCCGGACAGGACAAAGCAGGTGGGCCAGCTTCAGGCCAGATCAAATCGGATCTGGGTTGAACAGATCCACCCAGAACCATTCCAGATTCGGGTCGGATCAGATCGCTCCATACTATATCAGGTTGGGTTCGGACTAGGCTGATCGACCCAAACAAATCAAACCGAGGTGATCAGGTCTGTTCATATTCAGACCGGGCTGAATTGATTCGGACTGGTCCGGACTCGGGTCGGGTTGATTTGGATTTATGTCGATTCGAGTGAAGTGTGTTGATTCGAGGAAAACTCGTTTTAGTAATTAATTAATGCATTAATTATAAATTATTTCACTCAAATGAAGAAAATTAAGAAAAGGCTAACGAATTCATACTTGTATCTTTAGTGGTTAACCCAATGGTTATCCACAACCCAACCCAACCCATTTAAATTGACCCAATGGACGATCAACCCATTTCCAACCCACCAAGTAAATGGGTGGGGTTGGGTGGGTTAGATACTGGATAGGTTTGGTGGGTTCAGCGGGTTGGGTGAAAAATTGCCACCCCTAATATTAATCATGGCTGCAGGCAAAACAATTAGCCCACTAAATTTTAGGACATTGAATTAAGTTACTAGAGTTAAGACATATTTGGCAATATGGTTGTCAAGCTTTTTTTTTTATAACAAACCATCAAAGTTCAATAATATTAACTATAAACAGACATATTTACAAGGCATACATACACGGATACACCTATTAGAGAGAATAGCAAATACCATCACTCCCCATATAAATTATTTATAACAGAGCCCAAAAAACTGGTTTCTAACCACCCCTTGTTTAGCTAATGCATCAGCCATGCTATTAGATGATCTTGGAACAGCTGAATCTTCACTGGTTTTTCTAGTCAACCATCTAAACTTCATTACCAAAGGAGTTTAATCGAACTTATTAATGGTTTCCAGACACAACTAATTTACCAAAGTTAACATCCAAATAAGAATAATGTAACATAAAAGCATTGAAAGATGTAATGATGCATAGAACTTACGATGAAGAACTTGAACTGCTGAGCATCAATAGCCTCTATGAATGGGGCCATTTCCCATGCTGAAAGGTAATATAGATGTAAGTCAACTACATAGAGAACATGGTTAAACCAAGCAACCTTTCATCATCCTCTATATATCCATTGAAAAAGATCAATAGCACAGAACCCATAATAACAACAAACACCAAAAAATATGCTGAGCAAGCATGACTAAGCAGATAGAAAATATAATATCATGAATAAATCTTAGTCATCCTACAACCAACTTGGGAGGACAGATGAAAAGGACCTTTGCAGTACCCTGAAGCAAAATTGCCATTCAGCAAAAAGAATGATGTAAAAAAAATAGTTTGGTAACATGCCCAAGCCTAAGTTTCTTGGTTGAAATCATGAAAATCAAGGAAAAGACTATTTCAAGGTGTCATCCCAAGAAACTTAAAAGTCCCAATGATAATCTAAAATATACATTCAATTATCTAAATAGTTAAATTTCAAGATCCCCTACCCCTTTAACAATTACAGATCTTTATTTCTTCAATATGCACAGAGAGTTGAGTTCCTTGATTTTCCTTATTCTTATTTCCTTTTTCCTTTTTCGATTAGCAAAAATCATCAAAAGTACTTATTTAATTAGCAATATAAAGGTAACAAACTCCCTTCATCCAAGAATACTTAGATGAGAGAAACAACAGTACAAAACCAAAAAAAAAACAAAGATAGTATAACTACACCCCTACACGCCAGCTACCCCTAATACAACTCAACCGTATCTATGATATGTACATATATTAAATAAAATATAGCAATAAACAACACACACATATATAGATATATCAACATCATCATCTAAGTCTTGTCCTAACTATGTACGATCAGCTATATAAATTCAATCCCATATTCATCATAAAAATTATAGCGGCTATAAGAAGTCTTTTTCAATCTACCTGTAGCTCTTCTAGCCCCTTCAACTTGTAACAGATCTCTTCTTCTAACGGGTGCTGTAGAAGATCTTCTATGCATGTGACCAAACCATCTCAGTCTACTTTCTCTCATTTTAACACCTATTGGAGCTACTTCTAGGTTCTTCAGTATGATTTCATTTCTGGCCTATCGTTTCTAGTTTTACCACTCATCCATCTAAGCATTTGCATCTCTGCCACACTCATTTTTTGGATATGCTGCTTCTTGACTACCCAACACTCCACTCCATACAACATAGCTAGGCTTACATGTAGTTTATAGAAATTTCCTTTTTTAACGGTATTCACCTATTACATAGAACTCCAAATGCACCCCTCATGCCCTCCATTTTGCCTATCTTACTCTAATTCTATAAGCAGCATTCTCCTCAATCACCCCTTTTTTATTTGCCTTCTCAATCTCTCCTTTGTTATGAATTATTAAACCAGGTAAAGAAAGAGGTTACATTGAGTTATCTATCGGTCTCCAACCCAAGCCTAACCTAGTTTGCACTCCTATTATTATTAAATTTGCACTGCATATATTTTGTTTTAGTCATTCTTATTTTAAAACCTCTTGTTTCAAACGTAATTCACCAAAAGCCTAAGTTTGCGTTTAATTCTTCACTGGTTTCATCAATTCATACTATGTCATCAGCAAACAACAAGCACCATGTGACCTCCTCTTGAATATATTAGTCAATTCAACTATGAGTCCATGACTAGTGCAAATAAGTAAGGACTAACTATTTAACATTGACTTTTGCACCCTCATACATATCCTTAACTTGTGTGTATGTGTGTGTGTGCGCGCATGTGTGTGTGCATGTGTGCACATGAACATGTGTGCATGCATGTGCATGCATGTGTTTGGTGGTCCCATGCCCGAATAAAGGAGGGTTATGTCAGTTCAGCAGCCAGCATTAAAACTTTTGCTAAACTATCATGATCATGGAGTCATAAATAGTAGTATCTCCAATAGGTCATAAAATAAGAAAAAGTGGGCCCAGATAGCATGGTCACGTGCATAAAAGACCATCTACAGCACCCATTAGAAGAAGTGATTTGTTACAAGTTGAAGGGGCTAGAAGAGCTAGGGGCAGACCAAAAAGGACTTGGGTGGTAGTATGAAATGATTTAAGCGAACATTATTTAATGATGGATATGGCACTGAACAGAATAGAATCCTGAAACAGGATTCATGAAGCTGACAGCCTGACACCATATAGTTGGGAACAAGGCTTAGATGATGATGTGTAGGCCAGGCATAGGCCCAATAATTTATAATATTTATATAAATGATATAAAATATAACATAAAATAAAGCATATACATAAGTATATATATGCACTCCGGGCCTAAATTATTGGGCCCAAGCCCAGCCCTAAAATTTCCAAGCCTAACGCAGGCCCCAGTCCAGAAATTTCTGGGCCTAGACACAAAACTATGGCCCAAGTCCAGAAATTTCCAAGCTGAGCTGCACCAAGTTATAAATGATCACTCCTAGGTGGTGGGATTTATGGGGTGAAGGAAGGGCTTTGGGCGATTAAGGATGAACAGGGATGGTGAAGCAAGTAGACAACTTGCTGTCCACCAAAAGATTAGCAAGAGATTAGAAAGATTGAGAAGAATTATTGATGTTAGAGTGAACAGCATGAGATAGATCGCCTAGAAGAACCAAGTGAGAGAGGGCAAAAAAGAGAAAAAATCCTGGCAACAACAAGAACTCACTAAACCAAACTTTATTTCATAAAATCAACTCTTCCAAATTGCAATTACAATGATTCTATTTTTAGAATCAACCATGTAAAGTCAGGCTTCCTTTTAAAGACTCCAATTTGGACTAGAAAACTGACACAAAATAATATCTGATTGCGCTATTTTATTGCTAACAGAAATTTTTTATTAGAATGAGAAAAAAACGAATACATACAGTGCCTTACGCCCCACAATATAATCTGGATTAGCTGAACGCTTTAGCTGTGTAGCAGGATGTGGAACCAATAATAATGTTCCATGCCAGTGACAAAATACATGGGGCCCACAGTGAGGGGTTGAATGTCTGTGGGTCCCATGTATTTTATGATCGGCGTGGAGCATTATTATTGGTTCCACAGCCTGCTGAATAGCTATTGCATTCAGCTAAACCCATCTCCAAGCAATAGGCCAGTCCCCACTGCCACTGGTTTGCCCCAGCCTTCTTTTACTTTCTTATTCATTACAAAAGATTGTCCTCTAGCTGCCCCCAGAACATCTGACTTCAGTTGATTCTCTATCTTGACAACAGCCAAGCAATTGGCTGACCTGTGAATCTAGCTAAATTTGCCGATTCTTCCCCTTCCTAACTCCAGTATTTTCCCCATAGCATTCTGATGATTCCAAGTTCCAAGTAACTTTATTATTATTCCTGAACCAGCCAATCACAACTTTTGAATCTCCTTCCACAATTAAAATGATTTTGCTATTCTTTGGCCTTGAAGTATAGCCAATCACTTTAAGAGTAATTATGATAAGAAAAATCAACTTATAAACTGCAAAGACAATAGGATATTTGACAAAAGAAGGGTAAAAAACACTATTTTGCATGCATATTCAATTACAAGACAAAGCTACATCCCTTGCATTTCTTTTTTTATTTTTTGGATCAATACCTACCTTGCATTTCATCATGCCTGGCACTCTTTTCAATTAAAAGGCACCGGGCAAGAATCACTGCCTGTTGTATTGCCTCTAAAGGAATGGCAGCAGCCCTGCCATTTGCATCAGCTTTCAAGTCTTCATTCTCTAGCAGTTTTGGAACCATCAATATATCAGAAGCCTCATGGGTATCATGAGAATGTGAGCTAGCCTTAGTTTCATCAGAAACAGAAGCACCCAGTGACTCAGGGCTTATTTGAGGATAGGTATCAGTGCTTTTTGGCATACTTGTGTTTGCAAGAAGCACCATTTGTGCCTTTGCTTCCACCTGTGTCAAAAAATATCTTTTTGAACAGATTTTAGAAAAGAAAAGAAAATAGAAGAAGCATTGCTATTTATTAAAAAAAAATCAAATAATGCTTATGAAAAGAAAGACCTGATGTATAGTCCTGAAACCAAGAACTCCAGTGACAGACAGCTGCAGCCCAGAGGATTCTTCTGCTGTGTTGATGTGTTGCCTGAAACACAAAAGTTATCTTTACAAGCAAGAAAGATGATATGTGCTTCAAATCTGATAAATAACAAATTGTTGATTAAGAGAAACTCAGTTCTTTCTAATTGACAACAATACTTCCTTTTGTTTTATTGTTTCTTTCTTCCATTGGCTTTCCTTGTTTAAGAAAGGCTTAAGCCTTGAGGCGAGGCGCACAGATTTTGCCTCACAACTTTTATGTGCAGCTTAAGCCAATGTTAGAATGAGGCATAAGCCTCAAGCCTCAAGCCTCAAAAGCATGAGGCATAGCTTAAGGTGTAAAAGGGTGTAAGCCTCAAGTATTAATCATTATTTTCATTTCTTTTCCTAATGGATTTATTTTCTTTGTATTGATTTTTTTTTGCATAGATCAAATCAACTATGTTGTTTCCTTTCTTATAAATTATTGGGTGACCATAAATTTAATATAAATTATATGGATGATTCTTCATATGTTTCCATTCTCTTGAATTGGTCATTTGAATAATTTGAGAACTTTTGCATTTTGAAACATGAAATGTAAAATGTTTATAATTGTTAGTTGATTAGTTATTATTCCATTCAATGCATAAACACTGAAACATATTGCTTATAGACTTCTATTTGATGGATACTTGTACCTTCTATCATTCTAATTTGGTATATTATATGTTATTTTTATCAATTTGTAGACTTTAATTAATTTATTTCTTAAGCTTTGAAGCTTACGCCTTGCAATGCCTTGAGGCTTATGCCTCACATTTTTGGGCCATTACACCTCAACTACGCCTTTAGCCTTTTTAAAACATTGTTGGCATGTGCCCCAATCATAACACAGAGTTACCATTTTTAACAAAACAAAGTTACTATTTATAGTAAAGTTCAGACATATTGTAAATGGTAAAATCTCATAATTGCTATTTGTAGTAATATTGCAACTCCAACAATAGACTTTTGAATGTAAACTGATTCAAAAAAATGACACAGACTAATTTATGAGAAAATAATGTTCAGAGTGAATTTTCATCAACATACCCAAAGTGCATAAAAATTAATTTTTTTGCAGAACAACCTACCTAGAAGAATCAACTCGGCCATATGCATGTTCTATTATCCCTGCTTCCAGATGAGCAGCTGAAACAATGGTTAAAGCATCTCCCTTAAGCAACCTGTTACCCCAATAATTTGTAACACTTCCTAAATCACCAAAATACTGTAAAGTTTCACGCATCAACACTTGCAACAGATCGAATAAAGAAGAAGACCGATCGTCCAAAATCCTCTGCTGAAGGAGAAAGAGCCTAGACAACCACCATGAAATGCTTCTACATCCATGCAAACAATAATTTTCCACTTCCACAGACAAGTCCTTAATCTTCACCAGTAACATTTTGGCATAAACCATATACTATTGAAGAAGGAAAGGAATCATATCAAATTAACGAGTAATAAAATATAAGGAAATATTTATCAAAAAACCAAAATATAAGGAAATCAAACAGAATCAAGTAACTACAGAATGAATAACCAGCTATTTGCATAAATGATTCTTTTCTTTGATAAATAAATATTTGCACAAATGATTGTTAGTTAACCTAATTAACCAAAATTGAGGCTCGGAATTTGAATACAATATGCCCCGTATCGGGCATATCATACCGTATCTTTTGCTCATAGATACACCTATTTTAAGGTATTTTTAAAAACTTTTTTAATAGTTAAAAAAACAAAAATGGCTCCCGTGAAAATATGAGAACAAAAAATGAAAAATAAGGTTTTTAGCCATCCAATGCACATGTTCATGCGTATCAGGTGTATCCTTACCTAAAACCTTGGCCTAAATTGGTACTGTTTGCCAAGACATGACACATTACAGAGAAACATATATTTAGTTATGCTTTTTATAGTTGTTCTATAGATAATCAAGCATGCAGGTTAGTCCCTTGGCAATTTTGATGGTATTGCCGTCTCTAGGCTGCTACTGTTTGCAATGCCGATTATACTGCTGCGCTTATATCCATAAACCAAGGAGGGAGAATAAAAGAACTAAAAATAAAAGAAGGAAATGGCATAGAAATAAGGGAGAACAAGCAGATATCAATATAAAAAACACTAAAGAGGAAATAAAATGGAAAAGGAAATTATGAAAGAATACGTCCAAATTATAATAGGTACCCAATATACCTGTATTTGAGTTTCAGAAAAAATAAAAAAAAAAACTAATATACCTGTATAATTGAAAATTTCCCAAGCAATTCAGAACCAGTAGACATGAGCTGATTACGAGCCCACATGTCCCACTCCACTCCAAAGTTGACAGTTTTATCATCTTTGTACCGCCAAAAGGGCAGAGGAAAAGAATGGAAACCTTCAGATGGTCTGGAAGTTTAAACAGAACAATTCAGACATTTTAAATACAATTTTGAAAACTTTCAGATATTCTAAATACAATTTCAAAACACATATTGAAGAGACGAAGAGATGCTCAAACCCGGTCACATTGCACTGAGTAAAAGACAGAAAAGCTGCTACACCAATGCACATCACAAGTAACTCCCTGCATGACCGTTCAAAATCATTTTCGAGCTCCAAAAAGGACTGCACACTCTTCTCCACTTCGCAGTAAAACCTGTCAGCACAATCAATCGAATCTTCAAATTCCCACGATTCAGCAAATTCAAAGATGAGCCGAGCGGCATCGGAGAAGAGAGCTTCAGCATAATCCCCTTTTTCTATGCAATTAACGACATTCTCGAGCAAGACAACGACAGAATCTCCTTCGCGTCCAATCAACTCTGGGGAGGGCAGAGGGCGAGGAGCTTCTTGGGTTTCGGTGGATGCCGACGATAGAGAGCATAAAAGGAGACGAAGTTCAAACTCACGGAGGGCTTCAAGTGGTGCTGCTTCAGCCATGATGGGCGAAATTCAATTCCTCTGCTCTAGCAGGGTTTAACTTTGTTGTTAGGGTTTTAGTTGGCTGTGGATTCCGACCGTTTTAAATCATTAAACATAATAATACTACTAGCGTCACAGGGTTGAGCATTAGATTTATAATTTTATATTCGGTTAAAAACCAAATGAATAAACCGAAATTTTTAAAGTCGAACTGAAATTGAATTATAGAAAAATTTAAATAATCGAAAAACACTTAACCAATCAACTGGAATCATGTACTTGGTAGCGAATCAGTTTTGATTGATCAAAACTCTTTTCATACAATATCTTTTCATATCATAGAATTAATATATTATATGTTATATATTCAGATTAATTCAATTTATATACTTTATATAAATAAATATTTATTTTGTATATCTTTATTAATTACTTATAATTAATCAGTCAAATTCAGATCGAATTGAATATTCAAATATTTAATCAAATCCAAATTAGAACATTGATTTTAAATAATTGTTGTTAAATATCAAATCGAATTTGAATATTGAAATTTTTAATCGAGCTTAAATTCAGATATTGCCTTATTCAATTTGAATTCGAACCATTTACACCCCTAACTCTAGTTGCTCTCACATGTGGCCATTGATTTACTCAATGGGGTAAATTGCATATTAATAACAATGCTAATCTACTTTGGTATCCAATAGGGGTGCAACTTGGGCAGGCGCAAAGTTTTACATAGGTTGAGCTTGGATTTTTTGTCCTTAGGCCTAAGATTTTGGTGTTTACACAGACCCCTCCTTGTACTATGGGGGTTTATGACAAAGACCCCCTGCACGTTTTTTTGCAATAAAGACCTCCCTGAACTTTGGCTGTTAGACAAAGATCCTCTCCATTAAAGTTTTCTAAATACCCAAACTACCCTTACTCACTCTTTTAAAATACCACACAATAGCTCCAATCCCTACAGTAGGGAGGGAAACTACGGACGTTGTCCAACTTCTTAAACATACAAATCCTATTTGAGAGAAAAGCAAGGAGGTAAACTACAGACGCTGTCCAACTTCTTAAACATACGAATCTTGATTGAGAGAAAAGCAGGGAGGGAAACTACAGACGCTATCTAACTTCTTAAACATACAAATCTTGATTGAGAGAAAATAATGATATATTGATATGTTTTGTCTATCACCATCTGTACCACTAATGGGTTCTCTCTTGGGACATAGACTGATATCGGAAATTGAGTCCCGTTCTCGTTTTTATTTGTTTGTCATAACATCTCTACATAGAATTCTGTGGTAGTGCTAGTAGCTATATCTGTTGTCACTTACCTGACTGCCCAACTACACTGGGTGAGAGTAGTTCTTGCTGTTTTTACTACCCCAGGGTTAGAGATGCATGGATATTGTAATAGGTACAATGGCCTATACCTATTGATAAATTAAGGGGAAATTCCCGATTAGTACCCTATAATTTGGGCCTAGTGCCACTTTGGTCCCCAAACTTTAAAATGCGACAATTCAATACCCGAACTTTCAAAGCGTGACAATCTAGTACCTAACGTTAATTTATTGTTAACCAGGCATTAAGTGCATTTGAAAAATACACAAATACCCTTCGGGTGTCATCTAATTTTCTTTATCAACCATCCAAACATTGACAAAAAGTTAACAGTCCCAAATCCTTGCTTCTTTCATTGAAGAAAGTTGGGGTCACATTTGAATGGGCATTATGGTGACCCCAACTTTCTTGAATAGAAGAGGCAATGATTTGGGACTATTAATTTTTTGTCAATGTTTGGATGGTTGATAAAGAAAATTAGATGACACTCGAAGGGTATTTGTGTTTTTTTCAAATGCCACTTAATAGTTGGTTAATAGGTAGTTAACGGTATGTACTAGATTGTCATGTTTCGAAAGTTCAGGTACTAAATTGTCGCATTTTAAAATTCGATGACCAAAGTGGCACTAGGCCCAAAGTACAGGGTACTAATCGGGAATTTTCCCATAAATTAAATACTATAAGAAAGTAAAAAGAAGAAAGGATTCGAGGATAGGTGAGAGAACATGATTGATTAAGTAAGCAACAATCAAAGTCGTAATTAAAATTCTGCTCCTCTGCAAACTAGACAAGATTTTCATCTAGAGTCAAACTTAACAGCTCATTCCAGCAACCCTCAAGACACCACCCACCCTATTACAATTTGGAATTTGGAAGACAATCGAGAGATGCATAGATTATATAGAATGAGTGGGTAGAAATGTGTGGTGATTCGTGGGGATTGGGAGAGAGAGAGAGAGGTACGGTTGAGAGAAAAAGTGTCTACCGGCTGCCGCCAGTTTTCTATTTATATTAACTTCATAAAAGAATATAAAAATTACAAGTATGCCCCTTGCGACATATCCTAGAGTCAGAATAATAAGAAAAAAGAAAGAAGAAAAACAAATAATTGTAACTGTCCTACTAACAGCAGCTATAAAGTAACAATTAAGTAAGCCTTACAACATTCTCCCTCAAGTTGGCCTGAAGATGTCTATCATGCCCAGTTTGTCACATAACTCATTGTGCCGCGAGCACAGAAGCCCCTTTGTAAGGACATCAGCAAAGTGTTCCTTGGAGTTGACATAAGGGATGCAAATTTCCCTTTTTTTTCAGTTTCTCCCTTATGAAGTGTTTATCCACCTCAATATGCTTGGTCCTCTCATGTAGGACTGGGTTGCTAGCGATGTTTATTGCAGCCTTGTTGTCACAGTAAAAGAGCATAGGACTATGAACAACAACTCCAAGCTCCCCTAGAAGGTTCTTTAGCCAAAGTACTTCAGTCACCCCATGTGCCATAGCTCTATATTCAACTTCAGCACTTGACCTTGCTACCACACTTTGCTTATTGCTCTTCTAGGTCACTAGATTTCCTCCCACAAATGTGCAATACCCACTAGTGGACTTTCTATCATCCACAGCTCCTGCCTAATCAGCATCTGTAAAGACTTCCAGCTTTAGGTGATTGTGTTTACTGAATAGTAGGCCTGTTCCTTGATATTTCTTCAAGTATCTAAGGATTCTCTCTGTTGCCTCCATGTGTGGCTTCTTAGGAGAGTGCATAAACTGGCTCAGGACCCCAACGGAATAGGCAATGTCTGGACGGGTCATGGACAGATAAATCAGTTTTCTCACTAACTTTTGTAATTGCTTCACATCTTTCAAAGGTTCACCAACATAGTCACCTAGCTTGTGGTCCACATCCATAAAAGTATCTGCCGGCCTTGCACCTAATTTACTTGTATCCCGTAATAGATCAATGGTGTATTTCCTTTGAGAGACAAAGATACCATTTTCTGAGCGGGCAACTTCAATCCCAARGAAATACTTCAGGAGTCCTAGATCTTTCACTTCAAATTTAGATGCAAGGAATTGTTTCAAGTTTTGTATCTCTGAGCTTCAACTTCCTGTAATGATGATATCGTCTACATACACTATCAATACAACAACCTGCTCCTGACATCTCTTCACAAAGAGTGTATGATCAGACTGACATTGTTTGAAKCCCATCTCTTGAACTGCCATGTGAAACTTATTGAACCAGGCTCTGGGAGACTGTTTTAAGCCATAGAGAGACTTTCATAGCTTGCACACTTTGTTTTCACTTCCCTTAGCACAGATCCAGGAGGTTGAACCATGTATACCTCTTCTTCTAAGTCACCATTCAAGAAAGCATTCTTTATGTCCAGTTAATGCAATTCCCAATCAAAATTAGCAGCTAAGGACAAAAGAACCCTAATCGAGTTCATCTTAGCCATCGGGGCAAAAGTTTCATCATAGTCAACCCCATATACTTGTGTGTACTCTTTGGCTACTAGTCTTGCTTTGTACCTTTCAACTGTTCCATATGCCTTGTGCTTAACTGTGAACACCCATTTGCACCCCACGAGGTCTTTCCCCATTGGAGGATCCACCAAGTCTGATTTTTGTGGAGGGCATTAATCTCCTCCTTCATAGCATCTACCCATTCAGGGCATTTTAAGGCTTCTGCAACATTTTTGGGAACAGGGATGCAATCAACTGCCGATAGGAAGACTCGGTATGAGGGAGAAATGTAGTCATAGGAGACAAAGTGGGTAATGGGGTGTTTGGTAGTGCAGAACCTGAATCCCTTTTGTTGGGCAATAGGGATGTCAAGGTCATCCACAGTAGGAGTAGGGTTAGGGGGTGGACTTACCTCCTGGGAGTCTGATGATGTCAGTTGCTCAGAGTTTGGCTGCTCCACATTTCTATCACACTGTTGATCTCTCCGACGTGTACGTTGGAAGACACGGAAGGGAATAAGGTCTGGAATAGAAGGAAGAGATACCTGACCCTGCTTCCCCTCTTCCACACTACAACTCTCCCCCTGAGGAGGAGGGAAGAATGGCTCAGACTCAAAGAAGGACACGTCCATAGACACAAAAAATTTATGACTAAATGAGTCAAAGCACCGATACCCTTTTTGAGAGGAGGGGTACCCCAGAAAGACACAAGGAATGAACCGAGGGGTCTAACTTACCTCGGGATGGAGACAAATCATGGACAAAGGCCTTACAACCAAAGACTCGCATGGGGATGAAAAATAAAGGAGACTGAGGGTACAATAACTGATGAGGGGCCATGTAGTTCAGTACTCTAGAGGGCATGCGGTTGATGACATACGTAGCTGCAAGTATAGCATCTGCCCAAAACCTTTTTGGGACATTCATGTGTAACACCATCCCGCGGGCTACCTCAAGAAGGTGTCTGTTTTTTACTTTCTACAACACCATTTTGTTGTGGTGTTCTGGCGCATGAGCTCCTATGAATAGATTCGTGGGAGGTGAAGAACTCATTGAGCTCCCCATGGAAGTATTCCTTCACATTATTAGATTGGAAGATCTATATTTCAACATGGAACTTCGTAAACACCATCCTCTGGAAGTCTTTCACTATCTTTGGAACCTCGTCTCTGCTACACATAGGAATTACCCATATATAGCGAGAATAATCATCGATCAATGTAATAAAGTACTTATATCCACCCTCAGATATTACATTGGTAGGCCCTCATACATTAGAATACACAACATGAAAATGAA